ATACCAGAAGGATGTTTACCTATGCTTTATTGACTGTGCGAAGGCTTTCGATTGTGAGGATCATGACAAGCTATGGACAACATTGAGAAGTATGAGTATTCCAGAACACTTAATTGTACTTCTGAGGAATCTGTACCTAGACCAAGAAGCAGTTGTTCAAACAGGGCATGGGAACACTGAGTGTTTTAAAATTGGGAAAGGTGTGCGACAAGGTTGTGTTCTTTCACCATACTTATTCAACCTGGCTAATTGAGAGCATTCATTAAGCACGTGGCTACTAACAGAAGAGTCAGCAGTTCAAAGCCATCCAGCACTTTGTTAGAAAAAGGGCCTGCTTCTGAAAGGTCACATCATGAAAACCCTGTGGAGCAATTCTACTCTGTAAATTCAGAATCAAGTCCATGGCAACTGATTAACTTTGTTCACCATTCTATTTCCTGTGCTTTGCTTGCACTGTGAGAGCTCTTGTTAGGTAGGAATAAGATGCAGACCCAGATCCCAGGAATTTCACAGTCTAATAGATACAAAAAGCAGGTAAACCCCTAATTAGAAATTCAATTGCCTAAGTGTTTAGATCTCTCATCACTGAGTCGATTTCAGTTCACTGAAGTCTAGGCATCTTTCTCCATCACTGGAACAACATGAATGGGTCCATCCTGCTAGGTGACTCAGTAATGCCAGAAGGAGCATTTTGGATTTACAGTGTGAACTTATGAACTTCTAGAAGCCTTAGATACTTTCTCTGTAAACACCCCACAGACCAAAAAATCAAACCCACTGTACTTGAGTCAATTCTGACTCAAAAGAACCTTAAATAGGGTTTCTGAGACTATAAATCTTTACAGAAGCAGACAGTCTCACTTGTATCCCATGGTTTGAATTGTCAGCCTTCAAGTGCTTATTCTATTGTTGCTGTTGTTAGTACCATAGAGTTGATTCCAACTCATTGCAACCCTATATACGGTTTCTTAGGAGCAGCTGGTGGGGTTGAATCATTGAACTTGCATTTAGCAAGCCACTGCCTATTCTACAATGCCACACAAAGACTCCAGTGATTATCCTAAAAGTCAGGGGGAGGAAACATCTGGTCAAGGGCTGTATAAGACCCTGGACATCATTTGGCCTGGCCCTGCCAAAGCAACTGCAGTTCCAGCCATCACATTGCTATTTTTTCTTGTTAAGTGCTGTTGAGTCAGTTCTGACCCATAGCGACCCTGGTTAGGGTTTCCAAGGAGCAGCTAGTGAGCTTGAACTGCCAACCTTGTGCTTCAAAGTGACTTTGCAGCCACACCAGGAGCCCTAAATCTAAGACTGAAATATAGAGGAGGAGAATGCAGTGAAGATTACTAAGGAAGAGGTAGAAAAGTAAACACAGACAAGCACTGAGTACTTCTCATAAACAAAAGAGGGAGCCTCCATGTGATGGAGAGCTAAGCAGGGTTAAATGCCACAAGGAGATCGGGAGTGTGTAACCTGGCAACTAGAGAGCCCTCTTCCAAGACTGAGACTCAAGGGGAATACACAAGCAGCATGTAATCTTGCTGGTGACCATGTTGGGGAAGTGAGGGAAAAGCAATAATGAAGCTGTGAGCTAAGTCTGACCACGTTCAATAGAATCCTGTCAACCTGGGTTGAGACATGGTTGGCCAGCAGTATGGCAAGACTCCTGGGCCTAGGGACAGGGACATGGCCACAGAGGCCTACACCGGAGAGTGAAGCATCCAGCTGATATGAAGTGAGGGGAGATGCACAAGAACACCCACACTTGCGATACTACCCATTTGACCTGGCTTCAATGGCTGGATGATCAGAACTCAATTAGAGGAAGAAAGAAGAATCAAAAAAGAGTAATCCGATATAATTTGATTAATTTGACCTATACTTATGGGTGTATTAGCTCAAAAGAGGGAATGAATCTTTACAGCGAGTGTCATTCTTACCCCCTCAGTACACAGGGTTGACAGGGATGGGCAACTTAGACATTGGCTATCCAAAATGTGGGGCGACAAAGGCAAGAAGTGACTGGCTTACAAACTTTTGAGAGGGAGCCTAGTTTCAGAGGGTGCAGGGGAAGGTAGAGTCTTCACAGAGTGGTTTCCAAACTGTCTGGATGGAGCTGATGAAAGGAGATGGGGATAAGACTCTTGTGGTTCAGTAGTGAATAATTGCTATCAGGACTGATTATGAATATTGCAAATGTAAAGGTAGACATTTTGTAACAAAAAGAGGGGAGTGGTGGATCTTGCAGTCCAGGAACAGAGGACTCTGGGCTCATCAAGGGAGAAGACCAGAGTGTGGGACCTTATCCAGAGAAGCAGTGATGCTAGAGATGGAGGCAAAGACAATGACTGATGTGGAGAGATGGAGAGGCTGGGGACTCTGGACTCAGGGAGAGAGAGGGGATGTGTGTTGACAGCCGAGGGGCAGCCTTGCAGATGTACTCTTTGGTTGTTTGGATGGTTATATATTCCTGAGTGCTTCAGTGTACACCTAAAAAAAATAGGGAATGGAAGCAAATGCTGTTGAATGATGATGCATGGAAGTGCTTGTAATCATTGCAATGAAGCAAAATACTATAGGATGAATGCACAGTTGATGTTCTCCCACGTAAACTATCACTCAATTCATAATAAAAACTTAAAAAAAGATACAACTGAAATTGGGGGTAAGGGGGATAGGGTTAAAAAGAAGGTTTTTTTTTTACCTTATACCACGTTATTAATTCCAAAACAAAACTATCCGGGAAATGCAAATGACATGTCAGACCATCATCTTTTCCAAAGTGAAGTGTTTGTATATACTCATCTGATAAATTCAGTAGAGCATTTCTGGAAGTAACACACCAATATTTTCTAAAAGCAGTCAGGTTTACATGTATTCTGAGACAGCTGTTTATATTCCTATAAGAAAACAGCAGATTGAATTCTCATAAATGCTTAAACAATCACAAATAAAGCGATTCAGTTCATCTTCAAATACTTCCAAATCATTTTCAAAACACTATGCTTCTTCCCTGCACTCAAAGCAAGACATTCCCCACAAACCATTAATTATGAAGAGAAAAGTAATACTGAAAGAGTGGAGAGAATGGACAACACCTTAAATTTGTGATCCAATGGACTTCAAGTGCCTCCAAACTAGGGTACTCTAAGAAGGATGCAATCACTTACATAGTGTTCCATTCAGAAACACAGTCTGGGCCTAATAACGAAGAAACATCTGACAAACACAAGTGGAATGACAAGATGTAAAACAAACAGCTTGCACTCTTTAAAAAGCTCAGTGTCAAAGAAAAGCAGAAAAAAAAATTTTTTTTAAACTGAGGAATTGTCTAGCTTAAAACAGATTGAAGATATATGACGACCAAAAGCAATGTGTGATCATGCATTGTAGGAGCCTCTACTGAACAAGAAAGAAACATAGTTTTAAGGGTCAGCACTGGGATGACTAACAAGATTAGGATGTTATTGTTGTTGTTGAGTGCCGTCGAGTCGGTGCCGACCCATAGCGACCCTGTACAGGGTTTCCAAGGCTGTAAATCTTTACAGGAGCAGAAAGCCTCATCTTTCTCCCGTGGAGCAGCTGGTAGTTTCGAACTGCTAACCTTGTGGTTCGCAGCCCGATTCGTAACCACTACGCTACCAGAGCTCCTTCCATATACTGTATAGTATGAGATTATTAAGGATTGGCTGACTTT